TGATAGCTCCATTTTCTACTTTATGAGTCTTAGCATAAGCTGATGTATTATATCACAGGATTTTTTCTTAAAGCAGATATTCGCTAGTATATACTTGAGTTTTGGAAGCAGTACTATGTTGTTTATATATTCTATCTAACTTGCTGAGTGCTTTTTGTATCTTAGTTTATATATTTTTTTGCTCGTGCAGTTTGTTTCGCGTACTTTGCAGATCTTATTTTGCAAACAAAAATATGCTGTCAAAAATGGCATAATAATAAACGCAGCAGCGATCACACGATGTTAGCAATCGTTAATCATCAAAATAATGCACGTGCTTGTTTAATTAATTAATGAATTTTAATGCATACGTACCGATACGTATTAAATTAATGTTTAAGTAATTACATTAAGCATAAATAATTTTGTCCACGTGCTTCAACAATGTTATTTAATTTGGATATGATTCGTAACTTTTTTTTTATATAGTACTTACCTTTTTTTATACCTACCTAAAAGTACTGTGCATTGATGTTTAAGAAAATTATAATTGGTTATTACATAATTTAAAAAAAATTATACGTATTTACTCCGTGAATTACGTAAAAATGTGTATGTAATTAATTATCTTTGTTCGGATTTGATAAAAGTAGTCAAAAAATTATTTTATCTTTGAATGATTCGTCAAATTAATTCGTCATCAAATGATTCGTCAAATCATTTGATAAATTAATTTGTCAGATCATTTTTTTTTTTTCGAATTATGAATCATTATGTAGATTATGCAAATGATTTCATTGTGATCAGGCCAATCCAAGTAAATCAGGCTTTCATTAATAATTACCGAATAGCATAAAGTGAAACTTCCCTACGGACGTAACGGGTTCACATGGGGTATCGTATTTTACATAGGTAAGTTTAGGAAAATATTCTCAGATAGTTTGACTTTTTTGAAGATAAAAAGTACGCTAACGAATTGCAAACTACTACGAATTAGATGGGCAGATCTGTCCTTTGTGTAGGAACTCCTTGATGATTGAAAAGATTTAAGTCGATATTTAGGGCGACTACATGAAACAACCTTCAAGCGCACTTTCGTTATTATAATGGAATGTGAATCCGTGATCATTTTAATAACCGAAACAAATAGAGAAAATCTATTCTTCCAATCCTGTGTTCATGAATTATTTACAAAAATTAACATTATTTACAAAAATTAACATTATTACAAATATAACACAATATCTCGTTTTTTTTCTCTAAATACAATGGAAATAATAGAATTACGCATTTCAATGTTTTATCATTGTCGCCGACTTAATAAAATTTATATCTATTCGGATTTTGTTTTTTTTGATTGTCCATTGTTCACAGTTCACAGAGAAATAAAATTGGATGACAAGATCGCGTTTATTGTCCAATTTCGGAATTATCGATGACATGATCATCATTGCATTCCAAAGTAAAACTTCATTACTAATTCGTTTATTCATTTTATTTGTGTAATGTTACACGACAATCTTAATAGAACATTAGTACGTATTACTGTGCAATATATTATGTAAAACTGATACGTAAAGTAAATCTTAAGCAAGTAACGGAGCAAAAAACTTATATAAAGACCAATTCTCTTTTTTTTGTTTTTGATCTCATCCACCATTCTCTCAACTTGTCATTAATCAAAGGAAAAAAAAAAAAATACCAGTGCTTTCATAAGCCTGTAGGCGATGGACGAAAAATCTTTATCCAGTTTTGTCAACCCGGACTCTCAGGATAAAGCTTTCGATGTTACTGAACCGACCGTAGACCTTCAACCGGAATGTTTAGAACATTTAAAGAAAACCGATCCATCTCATATTTCCGATGACTCTTGCTTATTTAATGATGATAGTAGATCCGATTCGAAACACCCCTTACCAAATAATGACAAGGAGGCGGATCGCCTGCAAGTTGTACATTATCTATTAAAAAGTCTTTTTCAATCGAATTATATTGCTCCCGTCCACTCAATTCTTAAAGATAGCAACGCGAAAGTACTTGACGTTTGGTAAGATTTTATTATGCCTTTTTATCTTTTAAAACATTTATTAATCTTAATTTCTTTTTAAAGTTGTGGTTCGGCTATATGGATTCTTGAAATGGTAACTTTTACATTTATCATAAAAAAAAATATAGTAAAATATATACTGTATATATATATATATATATATTAATACGTGTATTAATCTTTTTAATTTACTTTTTATTTCCGTTCATTCTAATAAAGGCTGCTGAATTTCCTTTGTCTACCTTTACTGGAATTAACATCACAACCATCTGTCCACGTGGTATATATATTTTTTGAAATTCTGAAATTATTTAAATTTAATAAATTTTAATATATATATATTTTTTATGATTATTAATCTTTTGATATATTTTTTTTTAAAGATATTCCATCCAATTGTAATTTTATTCAAGCAAACATCCTTGACGGATTACCATTTCCAGTAAATATCTTTTTATAATTCCATCGTTTTTAATTTCTTATAATCGATCTTTTGTAATTTTTATTAAATATAATTTTTTATTATATAGGATGATTATTTCGATTACGTTCATTGTAGATGTGCTCTTGCAGGTTTCAATGTAAATAATGTAAATGATTGGAATAATAAAATTATTCCTGAAATAGTAAGGGTCTCAAAACCTGCCGCTTTTTTTGAACATTGCGAATTTGATGTTCATAATGTTAATGCCGGACCCATCTTAAAGAAAATTTCCAATGCAGGTATGAAAAGATTTTTTTCGATTTCACTTTTTAAAAGTTTTTAACTAATCTCTATTTTTTTTTTTTTTTAGAATTATCATTTGGGTCTTCTCGTGGTGTCGATGGCATGGTTTTCGATAAAATAGGCGATTTTCTTCTAAGTAATAAATTTTTAACAAATATTAACCAACAAAAAAAATATTGCCCTCTTGGTACATGGGGTGGTGAATCTGGGAAGATGGTATGTATATCTTATATAATAAACGCGTAAAATTTTGTTTCAAAATTCTTTTATCAAGTGAATGAAAAATATTATGTATATATATTTATATATTTAGAATGTCGAAAATTTTCGTGATTCATGTTTAGTGGTTCAATCGCAAATGGCCGAATTTATGAACTTAACTTCTCAAGAATTCGAAGATATGATTAATGATTGTATAAAAGAGGCCGAAAGTTTCCGTACTTATTCGAAAATTCATATTATTTGTGCTCAAAAGATTGTTCCATCAATCACCGTGTAAAATTTCGTTATTCTTTTGTGTTATTATGTCGCGTCCTTCGTTTGTCGTCTTCTTATAT